CTTGGCACAAAGGATTCATTCAGCGCGCAGACATTTCCCTTCGCCAAATGAAAACTCATTAAGGGCATTAAAAGCGTATTTTGAAATGCACGCACCAAAGTGATTTTTTTTTTTTTTTTTTTTGCATTTCCACCTCGACTGCACCATGGCGACTCCATCAATACGCCGTATATACATACGTATATATATGTGCATACATATTTTAGTCAGCTTTTAGCTCTCACTCACCCCTTGCTGGTTGCTATTTAATCCGCTTTCAGTATTTAAATACGAAAATAATGTTAAAAATTTTTGTGTTCACCTGTTTTTTGTTTTTCTGTGACCTGTAAAAGTGTTATTGGAAGGGTATTTTAGCAGACTGTTCCTTAGGTGAAAATTTTTACATACAAAATAATTATAATATGATAATATGCATATTATTCACATACATTCTGATTAGTTTCTTATATATATCAAGAACTCGAAGCTCTTGAAATGATTGCTGTTTGTTCTAAAGATTTTTGAGATCTTGATTGAAGAAATAGGCTTTTTTAAGGTTTCTAAGTTTCAATACCTTTATGAGCAAGACATTAGAAATAGTATTTAATTTTGTTGAAGATATTAAAATGTACTTTTCTATGTATAAAATATAAAAATAACTTTCAATTTGGTATACATAAAATAATATACACCAAACAGTTTCTATATATAAATAAAAAGTTATATAAAAAATGTTCTACACATAAAATAATATCTCAGCTATTGCAAACAAATCAAAAGGGTATTTTCAAGTCTATCACTTCGCATCCTCAATTCGTTTTTCTGATACATTTCGCTCAGCTAATTTAGGTGAGTGCGTGAGCTCCATTCAGTGGCTCTGCCCAGGTGCAGCTGATGATAAGCATTATCTGCTGCTTAGAGCGCCAACGCCAGCTCCAGCTTCAGCCTTGTACATTAGTTGGGCTTAACGGCTGGCGCATGGAGCTGGGCAGTTGTTCAGGTGTGAATATGTAAAATGTTAAATCCGAAATATAAATTCCATTTTTACACATGAGCACGCGTCCGCCCTGCATCATGGGCTCTGTGCTGCCGCACGGAGGCGAAATGCAAATTTCCGCTACGTATGCCGACCGCACGCCATAAATTCTCGACCTCAAGCGCACAGGGCAGGGCATCCAAAAAATTCGAAACGAACCGACAAATTTATAACCGAAAAATGTTTTTACCCCCTCTCACTCTCCCTCTCTCTCACTCTTGCTCTCCCACTCTGTGGGAATATTGTAATAAACAAGCGACGGGCAATAAATGATGATTTTTTTTGTTTTTGTTTTTATCTCTTCATTTGCAGCTACGTGGGCGAGTACTCGAATATTCCCACCGACTATGCGGAGGTGTCCAGCTTTGGCAAGGCGCCCAGCGAGTATGGACGTCACGGCAACGCCTCGCCCGCACCGTACGCCACCTCCGTCATACTCAATCCCGGTCAGCAGCAACAGCAACAGCAGCAGCAGCAGCAGCAGCCTCGTTATCAGCAGCGACCAGGCCCGAACTCCTATGGCATGCAGCGACCCATGCATCCGCATTACCAACAGCAACAGCAGCAGCAGCAACAGTTGCAGCTGCAGCCGCAGTCCAGCGGCAACATCTATCAGCAAATGTCCACCACGGGCGAGATCTATCCCAGCAACACGGCCGGCGCACGCTCCGTTTACTCCGATCAATATTATTATCCAAAGGACAAGCATATGCACATGCACATCACCGAGAACAAGCTGAGCAACTGCCACACCTATGAGGCGGCACCCAACGCACACCAGCAGCAGCAGCAGCAACAGTTGACGGCGAGCGTGCGGCGGCAGCAGCTGCCGCATGGCTGCAGCATTGGCCGGGACAGCGCGCGGTTCAAGGTGCCGGAGCAGACGCTGGCCAAGAGCCATCAGCAGAATTTGCTGGATCTGGATGGCTCCTCGTTCTGCTACAACGGCCTGGCCGACTCCGGCTGCGGCGGCTCGCCCTCGCCCATGGCCATGCTGATGTCGCACGAGGACGATCAGGCGCTGTACCATACGGCCGACGGGGATCTGGATGACATGGAGCGGCTCTATGTGAAGGTCGACGACCAGCAGCAGCCGTCGCAGCAGCAGCAACAGTTGCTGCCTCTGGTGCCGCAGCAGCAGCCGCAGCAGCAACATCTGTCCCAGCAGCTGCCGCTCGATTCGCAATCTTGGCGCGCACAGAGCACTCGCTCCAGCCGCAAGGCCCACGTGGAGGAGCCCCTGGCCAAGGAGGCCGCCGAGCTGATCTATGCCCCCGGCAGCGTGGCCAGCGAGCGCAGTCTGCTGAGCAACTCCGGCAGCGGCAGCAGCAGCCAGCAGCCCTGCCACAATGTCTGACCCCTGGCCGCGTCGAAGGCGCCGGCGCAGGTGCAGGAGCAGGAGCAGGAGCAGCTGCATGCCAGGGAGGTGCGTGAGCTGCTCGCCTGGTGCGAACGCTTCAACAACGGCGGCGCCGAGAACTTTGAGTAAGCAAAGGGAGTGAGCAAGGGGCGCACACTGAGCGCACTGACTGTAGAAAAAGCGAAGAAAATACGAGAAGTTCAAGCGTCTTGGTTAACTGAAAGAATAACGGGAAAGTAGATAAGAGAAGTTGGAGTAAATAAGTGAAAGTAGTTTTATCTGTTAACCGTAAAGTTTCTGTAAAGCTGAAGAAAGAAGAGCTTCAGATAGAGTTTTAGGTTTGTTTGATCCAACTATGCCTTTTATATATTTTAATAACCTTTTTACTTGAAAGCTTGATTAAGCAAAAGTTAAACAATTTTCGTTAGATGGCTTACTTGGCAAGCACATATTTTTATTGTCATTATACGGTTTGATAAGCCTTCAGCTTTAATTGATATTCAAAAGAAAACATTAAAGCCATGCCTTCAACACTTTTTCTTTGTATAAGAAGCTTTAATGAGCTTTCAGTGAGCTGCAAATATCATTAGCAAAGCAACTTTAAAAGCTCCTGCAGACCCTATGATATTTTGAGATACGATCGAGCTTTAGACTTAAAGCTCAATACAAGAATTTAAGCAATTTTCAACAGCTTTTACCATGGCTTCCTTAATTCCTTTCCTCAAACTCTATTCAGTTAACCAACGCATTTGAGCTTACCTACGACAGTTTACCACGAAATTGATTTGATATATTGATTGATTGATATGAATATTGTTACAACTAATTTTCTTTAATGTGACTAAGACTGAGAGCATTTTCTGAGTTAAAGCTGATAATTTCAATGGAAGTAAACAAGTTACTCTTAAAGGTTTCGTTCGAACTAACTAACTAACTACTCATATATAAAGCGGACTTGCTAAGAAGTGCCAATATCTATGGCTCTATGCTAGTGATAGACTAACTAACCCACTCTCTCTCCCTCTCTCTCACACTTTCTCTTCTACTCGATATCACTTTCTCTCACTATAATTGCTTTATACCCAATTAGGCTTAGTTTTTAGTTGTAGACGATTGTAAATGTTATCGAAACGTATGATAAGTTCCTCCAAGTATGCGGGCAGCTGAAGGCCGGCGCTTAAATGATGATTAGTTAGATTGTTGCCTAACACAGCTTAATTACGAACTAAAATTAACAAATCATAAATTTAATAAATTATGTAAAATGTAAATAGTTGATTAAGCTAGAACATAGACGAGTTTTCAATTGAATGTATTCGTATATGCAAATAGGACGACGAATCAAATTGTGCATATAGTAATTAAAAATCAAATAATTGTAGCAGAGCCCATTTATTTAGTTGTAATACACAAACACAAGCACATATTACTTATAAATATAAATTTATACATACATACATATATATAGAGACTTACTTATGTAATTAGTGCGTAATTACCAGCAGGCATATATAACAAAACTCCTTCAATTTAATGGCTAAACACAATTTGTAAACCCCATTAGATATGCATTTACACACACACACACACATGAATAAATAAATAAACATATACAGATATATTCAAGCATAAAATATTAAGTACATAGATATAAATATACATATATATTGATGTGTTTATCGTAAAATATTCGTATGTTGTTTATCCATTAGAAAATACAGAAATTCAATGTATGTCTATGTGTAATTATTGATATTGAATACGCGTATTTACAATGTAGCAATTAAAATGCAAATAAAAAATGCCATAATTATGAAATTCGACAAAACACGCACACACGTCTCTTTATTCGATGCATTATTGTTTATCTGCATTGTGGACTTCATCAAAGATGAAACTGATTCGAAATTTTAATTAAATTAGCTCTCTATTTGCTTGCTGTGGGCAGAGTTGTTTAGCTATTAACTAATGACTGGGCAGTGAAAGAGGATTTATATACATATTAGTTGGTTAATCAAGTTCGTGTGCCGAATGAGAATGGAAGTCACTGTTAATGGTAATGAAACTGCAAAGTATTCTAAGTGGGCTCTACTTGAAGGTCTCCAGTTATTGCAGCTGCAAGCACGTCGAATACATCCGATTTCTACTGCAAGCAACAGAAACTAACTGAAGGGGCTCACAAATGCATATAAATAAGTTCTATTACCAATAGTTTATTCACAGCCAGCAGCTGCAGTCCTTGACCAGACGATTTTTGGTGCACTTCAGGCGCAGAGATGGCATCATCGAATGACATTCATAGTAAAAGTATATTTTGTATTCATTCAAATCTTGGAACAATTCACTTGGAAGACATTTAGTTTATATAACTAGCATTGGTATCATCTTGCAAAATTACAATAGAGCAATTAGCACGCTCAAAAGACACTGAACTCTTACGAGGCTCAACCGGAGGCAATGAAGAGACCTCATTTTTCGATCTGCTGCGACAATGCACAGAAGTTGAGGCACAGCTGACAATACTATAAGAATATGGATTAATTGTAAATAATATAAATACTTGTAAACATGCAATGACTACAGCTAACTTAAGCTAGCCGGCCCGCCCACATTAATAGAAACTGAAAACCTCACAAAGAAGTTTCAGGAGTACTCCGTATGGCTTAATATAAACATACATTATAACATAAAGAAGTTTATTTTTGGTTGCGCTTAAAAGTAGGCAATGATTTTTTACAAATTGCAGTTGAATAAAAATTGGAGCTGCTAGACTGTTGAAAGTGGCTCAGAGACAAGTTCAATTACTCGGCTGCCACTAAGGCGACTAAAACGCTTGGGTTTTGCCAAAACAATTATATAATGTCAGTTATATATTTAGAATATTTATAAGTCCTTCTGTGAATATCAGGCTAGGCTATTTATATTATTGTCTAACTGTGTTGTCAAGCTACTATATTTGCATTGTACGGATTAAGCGCTTAAAAAAATAAAAAAATATTCTCCTATAGAAATCTTTTATATTTCAAAAATTCCAATGAGCAACTATAAAATTGAATTGTAAAAAAATAGTCATGATTATACTTCTTTTTTATTTATTTTTTTTTTTGTTTTATTTTAAAGAATTCCTGTTTTGCAGCTTCTGTCTTAAACTCTATATCGCAGTTATTATAAATCTAAACTTAAATTATGAGCTAGAAGAAATTGACAGCATTAGTTGAAACTTTGATTTTTTAATAAACATATTTTATATATATATATATAAAAAAAGAATATATATAATCCAAATATATGTATATGTTTTCAAGCAACAAAAGTTAAATATAGAATAAATGAATACAGTTGAAATAAGATAAATAATTTTCTATCTATGTGTTGTTATAGTAAAATATCTGATATACAGGTTCTACACTTAAAATATAAATAAATAAAAAAATTATTTGTTGGGACTCATAAGTATTTGTTTATGCTTATATGCAAACTTCACAAGCTCTAATACAAACTTTTAGTTTAAGAAATTCACTCACTTAAGCCCTGTTCACAGCCAAAGTCGATTCGCAACTGTGCCAAGCCCTAATTTGATCGGCGCACAAAAGTAGGCAACATAAATTTCAATTCCGGCGCACCTGCCCACCAAACAAATGGGCGACCAAGTGCTGGGCTAATTGAAAAGTTGCTGCCGTCGCGACGTTGCAATGGCTACCCCTACTTAACTTAGCTGCCAGCCAACGCCTCACGGCGCATCTCCCGGTGCATCCAGTTGCAACAGAGCGACGCGCTTTTAATTAGCTGCAAAAACCCAAAATTATGCATGTGTGTGCGCGCGTGTGTGTGTGTGTGTTGTGTGTGGGCTGTGCCCATTTTAACTGCAAAATAATTACGTGCTAGGCAATTAATTGCCAAGGGGTTAGAGGAACGCTGAAAAAAAAAAGGGAAGGACGGACAGCAGTGAGAGCGACTCACGTGCGCCATTTGGCAACATCCGGCAGCCATTTGTTGCAAATCGACAGCCACTTCCGGTGCGTGCTTTGGACAGGGGCCACGGCACACAAGCGGCAGGGCATGGCAACATTTGTTATGAGCGGTTTGCTTAAAAAAAAAAGAGGAAAAAATTCAGGTAAATGCACTACAAAATGAGCTTAATGCAAATTTAATCATCAGTTGGGTTGGCTGAAGGCGAGCGGGGGAGCGGAGAAGGCAGTTTGCAGAGAACTATGTGCAACTATATGTGCAACTAAGAATGTTGTTTAGAATGAGCTTGGAATTGTTGAAATAGAGACTAGATTTGTGTGTTTATTACGAGCCAAAAGTTAATTTTTATATGCCCATTCATGAATAGAAAAGAGTATATTAATTCTTTAATCTATCCCTATGATTGCAAACAATATGAAGTATATACTCAATATGCTTTGAGGATCCAAGAGAGTTGTATTTTTTATTTTTTTATTTTATTTGTATTTCTTTAAAAATAATTTTTATTTTATTTTTTGATTAATTTTATTATTTTATTTTATTTTTTTTTTTTTTACCCCGTATGCCATTAATAAATAATAAAATAAATAAAAAATTGTTTTAAAGCTACAAGGTGTACTCCACTAACCTCTTCATGAGTTTATTATCTATTAATTCTGCTAATTTGGGCGTGCCCGATAACTTGCTTTAGCTGTCTGACATTAACAATATTTACAAAATATAAATAAATAAATAAATATAAATATATTAAATATAAAAATAATATAAATAAATATTTCTATTATTTTTTAGTTTTATTAATATGAATTTATGAACTATAAATTGGAATTAATGTGGAAGAATGTTTGGTCCGCCTTCTTGAGAGCTTTTGCATTCTCAATTAATATATATTTACGTTCTTTCAAATCTAAAATATATATTGTATATTCATAAAGCTCTGATGTCGCCTTGTCTCTATATTTTGCTGCTATAGCTAACTCAAATTCCAACTATTCAAGCAAAAATCTGCTATTTACAAAATAAGCCAAAATCCATGCGGAAGCAGACGTAAACATGATTTCTGTCTTATAGCCAGAGACCTATTACAAATATAATAATTCGCACATTAAATCAATTTCAATGAATTTCTATGTGCAGCTGCTCGTAGTCCATACAAAAAAAATTGACTGCTTCCATCTGGTTGATTACACTGCCCATATGCCCATTACTTTGGCTCCCAGAATATGCTTTAGCTGTAAAAAAAAGAAGAAGAAGAAAACACGATGTGCGCAATTTGCGCTTCATTTTGAGCCGGCGTGAAATGGCGTTTTATGCCCAGGCACTTGCTGCGGCAATCAATTATGTAGCGAAATGTTGGCAGTTCATAAAAGTAGCTGTCATTAATATGTAAACAATCGCAGCAATTGTTTTCGCAAGTGCCAGCCGGGCCGAGAGACAACAGCGCTGCGATGTCTTGATGCTGCCTGTCTGTTGGCTGTGAGCACTAAAACAAACACATAATCATTTTATTAGCAGCAGGACGAAGCGGAGGCGAAGGCAGCCAAAGGATTCCAGCGATTCGCCTCGAATGGCTGAGCAGCTCATATTGGACTACGTGTTTGGCCATGTCTCGTTCGTGTTGTTGTTGTTGTTGTTGTTGTTAATGCTACTTGAGTTAACATGTTGCACCCGAGATCCCCATCATGTGTCAAGTGTTGATGCTCATGGGTGTGTATGTGTGTGTGTGTGTGTGACTTGGCCAGCACGTGGAAGTTTTCTCGTTAGCGAAACTAATTATCCGTTGTCGCTGTCAGCAAAATATCGTTAAACGCTAGGTGACACTCACACGCAGCTGCATCCCAGTGTGTGTAGAGCACTTGAAGCTGCTTGAATGGGCCTGTGCATGTGCGTGTGACGCTGACCGCCATTTACTGCCAACGTCAACAGCAAACTAGGCTAAAATTCAACTTTAGGTGTTGGAAAAGCAAAAACTGAGCGAAACTAAGTTAGGCCAGCGATATTTGAACTGATTTTTGTTATGCTAAAGTTATGTAGACTACGCTACAACTGTACACAGAATCCATTTGATTAGATTGTTAAAAAACAATTTTAATGAGCTATAGTGGAAGAGATCGAAATATGACCGAGACGGCGATATAGTAGAGGCTCAACTGTAGAGCTGTAGAAGAGCAATTGCAAATCGCAGAACGTTATAAAATCTGTAATGGTTCTATATATTCTAATCTTTATATTGTCTGCAAAGGCTTCTCTAGATTAAAGACGTTTGATATAATACAAATTATTTTTCTTAATATTTTAATATTTGTATTATAAGTATAGAACAGCATTTACAAAGTTTTAGCTATATATAAATATATTTAATAAATATTCATTTTTTATTATTATTATTCCTCCATTCAAATTTTTATTAAATAATACAAATTGAAAAAAATCATTTAAAATTAAAAAAAAATAAATAAAATTAAAAAATAATATATTTAATGTATGTCCCTTAAGCTTAAATATATATATTTTTTTCTTATTATTTATTAAATAACTAATACTAAATAATGTATATAATTTTTAGAATGTTATTAAATTTTTTTTTAATATTAAATTTCACTTTTCTTTTTTAATTTAATTTAGATTTTGTGTAACTAGCTCAGATTACATTTCTATCGATATCCTGTTGCAAAATGGCATTTTCATTTCCAATTCGAAACAGGTACGTGAATATGGACAAAATGTTTCGTCCCCTTGCATTCTATTCACACTGGTTAAGCCTCCGAGTAGAGGGCAGCATTACAATCTAAGAATTCATTATGTGCTCATAGAAATGCAATCAGCGTAAATGTCATTTGGTGCCGGAGCCTGTT